GTGGGTGAGAGGGGTGGAGAGGTTGAGGCGATTGATGTCTCGACGGCAGTTGGAGATGAAGAGGTTGAGGGAGGGTAGGAGGCCTTGGGGTGGTGTCCAGCAGGAGGGGGTGTGTTGGAGGCGGGAGAAGGGGTCAGTAGAGGGAGGGTTAGGCTCACAGTTGAAGACGTAAGCGTGGAGGCAGAGGAAAAGCTGCTCTATGTCCAGACGTGACCGGTATTCGTTGATGTGTGGGTGGAGGGGGACAAAGGTGAGCCCTTTACTGAGGACTGACCATTCGTCCTCAGTAAGGGGGAGGTCTGAGGGGGATGGTGAAGACTCGGCAGGGCTGAGTATTGCTGTCTCCTCTGGAGCTGCTGGCTGTGGAGGCGGTGGGTGGAGCGACAAATCATGTTTTTTTTCAAGCAACACGTAAGTTTTGGATTACCAAATAACAATTTGCAAATTTCACAGCTTTTAAAAAATATTCTGCATCTCTACTCTCATGTTCAAAGTGATAACTTCAGACTTTCCCACATTATATTCTATCTTCTTGATGCCCATGTGCTACAGCCTGTCTATATGTTCCTGCAGCCCCTGTGCCCTCTATACAACTTACATTTCTATCTAGCAGTGTATCATCAGCAAATTTAGACACATGACGCCTCTGTCTTTTTGTCTGAGTCATTAAAACAGATTGTAAATAGCTGAGTTAACAGCACTGATTTTTGCAGCACTCCACTAGTCACAACCTGCCAGTTTGGACATGTGACTTTTGTGAGCTGATCTGAAGATTTTGGGCAAAGGCACCAAATGAAGCAACAAAGTCCAGGGTGACAATATTGTAATATTGCAACTGTGATGTTCAATACAATTTTCACCTGTGCAAATGTTCATCCAATAATTTGATGCACACTTAGTAATTTGTTTGAAACACTTTTTAGAAAGAGACAGAGGAATCAATTGTTTTCACTACTGTTGAAGTTTTCTTTTGTATTTCAGATATCTAAGATAATTTAAAATTGGCAACTTGACTTCAAGTCCTGCTGAGCTCAATTTACTGACAGAAGTTATATAGACAGTAGGTGGCATTACTGTCCACAAAGCTGTACATATTGCAGTTAAAATCTCATGGGAAATCAGGCAATTTTGACAATTTGAAGAATACTTGCATCGAGGTATGGCTACAAGATTTTTTAAAAGCAAATCCGCAATGTTAGTTTCACTTGCTTAGTAAATGTTCGGTTTTAGTCATAATTTAGGTATAAGAAAAGGGCAGTTTTCCTCCGAGATACAAAACATTAACAAATATCATCTCAAAAGATCCTCACAAGCTAAACGACATCACTTAATTATACCAGATGGCTTCCTAAGACATAGATACGAATAAAGGTTAATATAGATTAAATGCTGCAAATGTCTGCATCTACAGGGAATCAGAGGCTTGTCACTTTAGTGTTGTAGATCTGATGCAGAAGAGGGCATTTGAACCATTAAACCTGGACCAGTCTTTTTAAACAGATGTCTATTAACGACAATCTCCACTCTGTACTGCAACCTAGTTTTCTATTTATCCATCTCTAATCCTCATATTCCAACACTTTCATCAGTCTTCTCTCAACATCTCTTCCTGTAGCCTCTCACATTAATATCAGTATACCGATCTATGCTGACAAGTAACAAAATCCGTGCACTAAAATTTGTGAAAGGAAGAAACAACGTCTGGCTTACCTGTCCAGCTAGTACTGCTAAGCAATAATGCAGGTCTGCCTTGGATGTGGGTGACATTGCCAGTACCAGTATGTAGTTCTGTGAACGCTGTCTGTTCTAAATTAGAGGGCACGGATTCACTCCTAATGGCATGAAAAAAAATGCATCATTAAGCACCTATAATATCAAATTACCGTCATTTCAATTGTGAAAACATTTACTTTTTAAAAATTCTTTCACAGGCCACGGGCATCTCCAGCCAGACCAGCATTCATTGCCCATCCATAGTTGTCCTTGAAAGGTGGTAGTGAGCGGTCTTCCTGAAGCACTGAAGTCCATGTAGTGTGGGTACACCTATAGTGCTGTTGGAGTTCCAGAATTTCAGTACAGTGATATAGCTCCAAGTTAGAATGGTGAGTGATTTAGAAGGGAAGTTGCAGTTGGTGGTGTTCCCATATGTATGCTGTGCTTCTCCTTCTAGAGGGTATAGGTTTGGAAGGTGCTATTGAAGGAGACTTGGTAATTTGCTGCAGTGCATCTTCTGTACCGTGCATCAGTTGTGGTGAGAATAAATACAAAATAAATATGGTAGACGGGGTGCTAATCAAGTGAGCTGCTTTATTCTGGATACTGTTTGGCATCGAGTGTCGTTGGAGCTGCACTCCCTCAGGCAAGGAAAGGGTGTTTCTTCATACATATTGACTTGTAGATGGTGGACAGGCTTTGGGGAGATGAGAGGCAAGATGCTTGCTACAAAATCCTTAGCCTCTGACCTGCTCTTATCGACACACTATTTGTACAGCTGCTCCAGTTCAGTTTCTAATCAACGCAACAACCTGGATGTTGATAGTGGAGAACTCAATGATGGTCATGCCATCAAGGGGCGATGGTTAGATTCTCTCTCATTGGAGATGACCATTGCCTGGTACTTGTGTGGCATGAATATTAATTGCCATTTATCAGCCTAAGCCTGTTATTTGTCCATGTTTTGTCACATCTGGGCATGGACTGATTCAGTATCTGCAGAGTTGCAAGTGGTGCTCAACACTGTGTAATTGACAATGAATTCTAATCCCAAATAAAAACCAAAAGAACGGTGGATGCTGTAAATCAGAAACAAAAACAAGTTGCTGGAAAAGCTCAGCAGGTCTGGCAGCATCTGTGAAGAAAAAAATCAGTTAACGTTTCAGGTCCAGTGACCCTTCCTCAGAACAGACCCTTCCTCTGAGGAAGGGTCACCGGACCCAAATCGTTAACTCTGTTTTTCTCTTCACAAATGCTGCCAGACCTGCTGAGCTTTTCCAGCAACTTTGTTTTTGTTCTTAATTCTAATCCTAACCCACTTGTGTGGCTTATGATGCAGGGAATATTGGTGAGGCAGCTAAAAATTGTTAGACCTAGCACACCAGAAGAGATGTACTGGGGCTGAGATGACTGACTTCAAACAACCACACCCATCTGCCCTTTGTAGATGGCGCAACTCCAAAGAACTGAGATTTTTCTGATTCCCATTGACTTCAGTTTTACTAGGGTTCCTTGATGCTATATCTGGTAAAATACTATCTTGATGTCAAGTCATTCTCACCTCTTACTGTTCAATTAATCTATCCATGTTGAACCAGGCCAATAACAAGCTCAGGAGTTGGGCGCCCCTAGCACAACCCAAACTAAGAGTCGGTGAACAAATAACTGGTAAGCTAACTGACCCGTAATATCACTTTGCTGGTGATTTAGAATAGATTGATGGGAGAGTAATTGGCCGGGCTAGATTTTTCCTGCTTTCTGTGAATTGGTCATATCTGAGCAAATTTTCACATTGCCAGATAGATGCCAGTCATAGGTAAACTGAAACAGTTTGTCTAGTTGTGCAGCTATTTCTGGAACACAAGACTTTCGTACTATGCCAGAATGTTGTCACAGCCTCCTCTGTTTTGTTGTTTAATTGCCCACTGTCATTTACAATTGAATGTGGCAGAAGTACAGAAGTTAGATTTGATCTATTGGTGGGGTTGCTTCCATCTGTCTATTACATGCTGCTTATATTACTTGGCATCAAAATTCATTTTTAGGTAAACCTAGTGCTGCTCATGACATGTCCTTCTCCAATCTTCACTGCACCAAGTGAATCCCTCGGCTTGATAGTAATGGCAGAGTTGGGGACATGTCAGGCAATGAGGTTACAGATAGTGGTTGAATACAATTCTGTTGCTGATAGCTCACAGCGCCTCGTGAATCCCAGTTTTGATTTGTTATATCTGTTCCAAATCTATCCCATTTATTGTGTTAGTGCTGTTTAAAAATAATGGAAGGTAACCTCAACATGAAGCTGGGATTTTGTCTCTGCAAAGACTGGGCAGTCTCCACACAGGCTGGGAAGTATTCTGTCCTGATGCAACAAGCAGTTTGGTGAGGACAAGGTAAAGTTTGCTTTTCCTTCCTGATGGCTCCCATACCACCTGCCACAATCTCAGTTTGAAGCTATATGCTCAAGACTTGGACAGCTCTTATGGCGATGGAAGGTGAAGTACTCCAACCAAAGTACATTCTGTGCCACCTGCTGTGCTTCTTCGAAGTACTCTTCAACACGGAGGAGTGGGGAGCTCTTCAGGTACAGTGATGGTGTCCATAGCTCTCAGAAGGTTCAAGTCCCTCCTGCTCCAGAGGTGACTAACAACATTCCTGATAAGGTTGTTTAAAATATCTCATGGAGGCATACTGGCCATATGTAGTAATCGGAAGGAGACTTTCTTAGCTTGTTTGGCATGTCGTCATGAGAGTTCATAACAGTCCACAGTCACTGTTGTGTACTCCCAGGTCAATTCTTTTCCACTGTATGCCACTACTGTGGCATTTTTCCAGTGCATCTGACCTGCCAGTAGGACAGAAATACCCCGGGATGGTGATAGTTGTGTCTGGGACATTGATTCCTTGAATATGAATATGGCTTACCGTGGGGACAGCTCTCTGAAATACGGCACAAGCTCTCAGATGTTTGTTGGGGGAATTTGCAAGTAAACATTACTACGTTCGTTGTTGTCATTTCCAATCCTGAGAGTGGTCCTTCTGGTTTCATTCCGTTTTCTTAGTCCTCATGGTAGTTAGATACAACAGACTAGCTTACTCAGGCATTTCAAAGGGTATTTGAGAGCCGCATTGCAATGAAACTGGAGTCATAGGTAGATCATGCCAGGAGGTAAGGACAGCATATTTCCTTCACAGAGCATTTGTCTTGGTCTCTGGACATCATTGAATGCAAAATTAGTTTAGAATAATGGCAGTTACATCGCCAGTGGAAATTTTACCTATTGGATTTCAGCATTCATGAAATTAAGCTTGGTATAAGAAAGGTTCATTGTTCACTTTACAGTTACAGTATTTCAAGTTTTATAGAGTCATTGAGATGTACAGCACGGAAACAGATCCTTTGGTCCAGCTCGTCCATGCCGGCCAGATATCCTAGATAAATCTAGTCTGATTTGCCAGCATTTGGCCCATATCCCTCTAAACTCTTGCTATTCATATACCCATCCAGATGCCTTTTAAATGTTGTAACTGCAAAAATATGAAGCATACCTTGCTTTAAATGCATCAAAATCTTTAGCAAGTTTCTTAAACAGTTTATGTTGTAATTCTAGAGGGGTTTCTCTAAAGATGGGAGATGGACAGTCATATAGTGTGGTTGCCCTGTAATAAAACACATTTAATTATAATATATTCACCTCTGTAACTCAACAAAATAGATAACAGCTAATTTCTTGCATATTCAGCTGAAAAATAATATTCTTAGCTTTTCTCATGTGCACTCTCAATTAATAACCCTGAACTAAGTGTTATGTATAAGTCCAATGTTTACCATTATTTTCTTTTCATTATTGTTATTGTTAGATTTGTTTCTTCAACTTGTATAGAGCGTCATACAGCTCTCCATAAACACCAGGATAACAGTCAGAAACTTTCAATTTATGCAACATAACTAGAGAACAAGCAGACCGTATTGTTACCAACCTATCCTAAATGTAACTTATGAATACTAAGTACAGCAAACTTTTTATCAACAGTTACTGATGGAAGGAGTGTGATGGTTCATCAAATTTTCCAGAAATTAAGAGGTATGCATAACTGCAGTAAACCCTGACCAAGAGAAGCTTCCAGACATCAACATCCCTCAAAACATCTATGTAAAAACATTAACCCACCTTCTAAAATCAATGTAAAAAATATAATGCAGGAGGTTACACATTTTTATTATACTTTATTTACAGCATACTCAGACATTGTGGTAGTTTGCGGTATTTGCGATGTATAATTTTTGCCGGTTTATCAAAAGTGCCAGTTAAAGCATTGCTTGTACTAGATTCCGATTGTTGCTCCCCCAGTTCTAAAGCGTTAAAGCTGGGCTTACTGTTAAAGTAAATCAGGGCAGGACAGGCTATGGTTGCAGGATACAATGGTAAAATATACGTTGAATCCAATGTTTGTGGTATGACAAATCATCTTATATACTCACTTGATATTCCAGTTCACTCTCAAGTCTTCTTTCATGGCTTCAGTGACACATAGATTTGAATCAGAGAGCTTTCCAAAAAAATGTTCATACCTATTTTTTAAAAATTCAAGCATATTAAAGCATAGATCAAATCACAAATTGCACAATTGTAATAAATACATAGTTCCTTCCTAAATAGCTTGAAAGTAGCGAGAAGACAACAAGAGCAAATGATTGAGGCATCCACAATCAAAAGGTAGGAGATCAAATCTTCACCTCAGAATGGTTCGGACTGAGCAAAATTAGAATAGTTCCCAGAGGATGCTGACATACTTTTGGTAGTCCCAGAAAAAATAAATAACTGAAAGATATAAAGTACAAAGGATATTTCGGAAAAGCAATTGAGTGTAAAGTATCCATAGTTATAAACCAAATTAAGTTTATAGTGCTTGTTTTATTTAATTGTTTTACATACAATAAAGTTTTTGCTTAAATACATGAAATCTTGTGGTATCGATCCACTAAAACAAGGTATTCGGATGTCTCTTAAATGTTAATGGTCCCTAGCAGGATTGTAATAATGTATTAAATATTTAAAAATTATAACTTTCCAGTTTATGTTTAATATTTCTATACTATATGGAAGTCTGCTTGTGAAAGGCATTCCCCTGGCAGCCTCCTCTAAAGGAAAGCTGCATTATAAAAACGTTGAATTTACCTGAAACACCTTCTGACAGAAATTTAGGTGTCTTCAGTGTTTAAAAACTGTTGCAGCATCCCTATCACATGATGTACGACACAGTTTTTAGGCGTAAAAATTCCACCTTCAGTCAAGATTTGGCCTCTGGGCTATTCTAGGGCACTATTTAATCCATTCTAACAAACTCACTCACTCGTGCTGTAATCCTAAATTTGAAGCAAGGTTATTACATTTTTATAAAACTTCAAACTAACTTTATGGAGTTTTTTTTGAAGAGATAACAGAGAGGGTTGAAGATGTGTAAATGAGGCATTCCACAGTGCCACACAACACATTTGTTAGGAAAGTAATTGGAATAAAAGGGCAGTAGCAACATGAATACAAAATTGGCTGAGTGATAGCAGAAAATAACAATTAATGGGTATACTTTTTAAGATGGAGAAAGGCTTGGAATGGAGTTCTCCAGGGGTCAGTATTAGGATCCTTGCTTTTCCTGATCCAGATCTTTCAAAGTTTGTGAACAACAAACTTGGATGAACTGAAAATTGTGAGGAGGAGAGTGTAAAACTTCAAAAAGACAAAGACAAGTTAGCAGTTAGTTGGTAGATGGAGTTCAATGCAGAGAAGTGTGTGGTGACATATTTCGGTGCAAAGATAATGGAGGGACACTATAACATAAAGGGTACTATTCTAAATGTTGTGAAGGAGTAGAGAAACCTGGGTGCATAAGTCATTAAAGATGGCAAGACAGGTAGGAAATGCCATTAATAATGCATACACTATTCTAGGTTTCATTAATAGGGGGCATAAAGTACAAAAACAGGGAGCTTATGACGAATTTATATAGAACACTCATTAGAACTCAGCTGGGAGTCTTACTTCAGGAAGGTCAGAAATCACACAACACCGAGTTATAGTCCAACAGGTTTATTTGAAAACACAAGCTTTTGGAGCCTCACTCCTCCTTCAGGTGTTAGCGAGAGAGGCACTATCAGACACAGAATTTATATGATCATCAGTGGTGTGACCCTTTGATCTGTTACTTATAAATTGTGTCTGATGCTACCTCTCTCACTAACACCTGAAGGAGGAGTGAGGCTGTGAAAGCTTGTGATTTCAAATAAACCTGTTGGACTATAACCTGGTGTCGTGTGATTTCTGACCTCGCCCCCCCACCCAGTTCAACACTGGCAACTCCACATTATTACGTCCGGAAGGATGTGAATGGTTTGGAACAGTGCAAAAGAGGTTTACAAGAATAATTCCAGGGATGAGAAACTTCAGGTATGGGGATACACTAGAGGGGTTGGGACTGTTTTCCTTGGAGAGTAGGTGGCTGAGAAAAGATTTGATAGAAGTCAAGAAAAGTCAAGAGAAGTCACTCAAGAAAACTTTGGTAATTGGCTCCTTAACTCTGACCTAGCAAACTACATTTTAACTGAAGTGTGATATTACTGCATGATTTCAAACGTTTGTCGCAATCAAAGGGGTTTTAAAAAAAAGGGAGAGCCAATTCACCCCTCATCACCTGCTTGTAACATTACATATATTGGTCACGTGGTTGGTAGCGAAGAAGAAAGCTCTATACTCCAATAAGCTATCAGTGGACTTGTCAAAGTGACAAATGGAAATCAGTCCAGAAAAGTGTGAGGTAATGCATTCAGGAGAGGGCAAGCAAGGCACGGGAATACATTATAAATGGGAGAATATTGAGAAACACAGAAGACAGCAATAGGTATAAATTCTTCAAAGGTGGCAGGATGGATAAATTAGCTGGACAAGACAGCACAGAATACCTTCCTTTTATTAAGCAAAAGCCAAAGCTATGATGGCAGGGATATTATGCTAAAATGGTACAAAACAACGGGTGGACCTGAGTTATCGTTCACTTCTGGTCATGCATTTAGAAGGATATGATCAAACTAGAAAGGATTCACCAGGAATGGAGGATTTTAACTATGAGACAAGCTTGGATAGGCTGGGGGGCCATTACCTTTGGAACAGAGAATGCCAAGTGGATTTGTCACTGAGGTGAATACATTTTTAAGGCCGCTGCATAGCATGGCTAAGAAGGATTTATTTAAGAGAAGTCAATCATCAGGCAGCATAGATTTAAGACAATGAGCTGGATTACAAGGGAGCTGAGAATTTGCTTCACCCAGAGGGTGGTGGGGTCTGGAGCACACTGTCTGACAGGCAGAAACACTGTATTATAAAAACCTAGCAACTTGATTTGACAACAGTGTCAAAACCATTCAACAGACTTATCTTCTGTATAGAAAAACATGGTTAGGTACCACTAAGTAGATAGCAATGCCTTAACCATTTGTGTGCTGTAAGGTCACTAGGACCCCTTCCATCCTTATCAAGGGGAGTGCTAACATTCTCTCCTTTCATATTAAGCAAGTGAAGTGCCATAACTACAGTTAACGGACTAACAGCTGGAAAGTGGGATAAGGCTGTATTGTTTTCTCAGCTGGCTCAGACATATTGGGCCAATTTACCTTCTGTTGTTCTGGAAACGTTTGTTGTTTCTACTATGATATACGGAACAGTAAAAATAAGATAATTTAAGACAGAATTAAAAACAGAATACATTGTAACCTCTCCAGTCTGGAAATCCATTGTTCTGAAACACCAGGTGTCAAGGATTTCTTTCAGTGAACCTTCTTGTTTCTGCTTGAATGGAAATGCGCAACATCAGTATTTGGATAAATAAATGAACTTTATTTGTGCTTTAGAATGTATTTTATTGATTTGTGCTTCAGGTAAACATTTAGAACTGTAGTGTTTCTGGTTCATGCAGTTTGGCATTCTAAAATCATTCTATGATTCAGAAAATTCGGATTTTTCAAAATGACTTGGGGGGCCCCCAAGAGCTTTGGACTGGACAGGTTACAGAGTAGTAGTGAACTGCATATCAAAACTCATTCAATACAAACCATTTGGCAATCAGCACAATGGGATGATGATCTCCATGTGTCAAACTCATAATGGTGTAACCATAATTATGCCAGTCAATAATAAATTTACTTCCTCTTAGCAAACATACTGCCCATACAGCGGCAATAGCAGGGAGGCCAGGTGGATTCTGTGTGTAAAACAAAGAGAATTTCCTACCATTTTATTCAAATAGTTCAGTAAATAGAGCCGAAAGTATATTAAAAAACTCAACGTTTTACCTGTAGGAGCATGTACGAAGGAGCATCAATCTTTAACAAAATGTAACATATTTGTAAAGTCTGCACAAAGACTTTGAGCCCATACTGAAAAATCTTTGATCCAACTAGAAAATATAGAAACAAACTTTAATCATCTGAAGTTGGTCTTTACAAAACATATACAAAATATCTGTATCTTCAAACAGATTATTATTGTTTGTGAATGGCAAACTAACTATAAATGTTTACTGATATCCAATGGACTTTGGAGGATAGTTATATGAAGCAATAATACTTACATTTCATTGTCGTCATGACCTCTGTTATGTAAACTATGTTAATCTTGTCATTACTTAAAATATCTCGATGAGGTTTTGCACCTGAAAGAAATTCAGACAAAGCCATTAAATATCTGAAAGAAACGTTGCCCATAATGGGCTTTGAATGTAAACTTCAAACTGACTGCACAGTTAATAGTCAAAATCAAAACACAGTCATGGTGATTTGACGGTGGAAATGCTGTTGGGTTGCATGTGACAACACTTCTGAATTCCTGAATTCAAAAAAAAAGTCTGAAATGGCTCTCGGGACGCAGTGATAGTGTCCACAGCTCTGAGCCAGGAGACCGATATGAAAGTCCCATCTGCTACCATCTCTGAACAGATATATTAGCAACAATATCTAAAAATCTGAAAGTCCACGTGTTTAAAAGGAAATGTTTCGAAGTAAAATACTTTTTCGATCCTACATTTTGGCATTGATACGAGACGAACAAGGGCAGGACTTTCACAGGGTCCTGGGGAGCACTATCGAACAGACAGACCAAGGGGTTGAGGTGCACAGTTCCTTGAAAGTCACATCACAGGTAGACCGGGTGGTAAAGAAGGCATTTGATACGCTTACCTTAATTTCTCAGACCAACGAGTAAAGGAGTTGAGAGATCATGTTGTGGTTGTACAGGATGTAGATTAGCCTACTTTTGGAGTACTGTGTTGCCCTGCTATAGGAAGGATATTATTGAATTGGAGGGGGTGCGGAGAAGGTTTACAAGGATGTTACCAGGACTGGAAGGTTTGACTTATAAGGACAGGCTGCAACCTTTTTCATTGGAGTGTAGGAGGTTGAAGGGTGACCTTAATAAGGTTTATAAAATTATGAGGGGCATGGATAAGGGGAACAGCAAAGGTCTTCTCCGTAGGGTAGGGGAGTTAGAGGACACAATTTAAGATGAGAGGAGAAAGATTTAAAAGGGACCCGAGGGGCAACTTTCTTCCACATAGGGGGTGGTTTGTATGTGGAATGAACTGTCAGAGGAAGTGGTTAGTACAGGTACAGTTACAACATTTAAAAGATATTTGGACAGGTACATGAATAAGAAAGATTTAGAGGGACATGGGCCAAATGCAAGTAAATGGGAAACCTGGTCGGCATGAAAGTTGTACTGAACAGTCTACTTCTGCACTGTATGATTCTATGACTCTATATTGCACAATGTGTCCCTTTTAAAAAAAGCCTTTCCTTTGTTTGTTTGTTTGTTCAATAATTCTCAGAGTACAATAGCAAGAAGGTCGTATTCAACTCGTATAAGATAAGGTTCAGCCTTAGCTGTATATTGCATTCAGTTCTGTGCATTACATTTTAGAAATGATATAAAGGCATTAGAAAGAGAAAAAGACAGTAAGTGCATAACAGGTTTGCAAGAATAATTCCAGGGGTGAGGAATTTCAATTATGAAGATAGATTAGTGAATTGGGCATTCTTTCCTGTGGAGAAATGAAGGCTGGGAGGAGGTCTGATTGATGTATTCAAGATCGTCTGGGGTCTGGACAGAGTATATAGGGAGAAAATGTTCACACTCGTGAAAGATCCGGTGTAAAAAGGCACAGATTTATAATGATTAATACGAGAAGCAAAACTGATTTGAGAACAAACATTTTCCACACAACGAATGGGTTGGGTCTGGAATGCACTGCCAGAGAGTACGATTGATACAGGATCAAGTAAGTCATTCAGCAAAGAATTAAACTATTCTTTGCAGGGTTGCAGGCAGAAGGCAGAGAATTTCACCGGGCGAAAGTTTATTTGGAGAGCTGCGACCAACACAATTGGTTCAACAGCCTCCTTCTATGCTCCAACAATTCTGCGACTCTGTAGGAACTTTACTGTCATCCTTCCATCTAGATGAGATGTTGGACATACATCAAAACATTTGGGATAACAAGGTGTAGAGCTGGATGAACAGAAGGGTCTAGGTCCGAAACGTCAGCTTTCCTGTTCCTCTGATGCTGCTTGGCCTGCTGTGTTCATCCAGCTCTACACCTTGTTATCTCAGATCCTCCAGCATCTGCAGTTCCTACTATCTCATCAAAACATTTGGGATGTTTCACATGGGGCACTTTTGCTAATGGCTGGAGAGACCAGTCCGAGAGAGGCAGATTCTGCCATGTGCAAGGTGGTCATCAGGGTGTTGCTGTAGGTTGTTGCTTTTAAGTTGGCACCAGTTGTCAAGCTGCTACATACAGTCAAAGAGCACAGAAACAGACCCTTTGGTCCAAACAGTCCATGCCAAACATAATCCCAAACTAAACTCGTCCCACCTCTACAAAGTGGCAAGTGACATTCGCACCACACAAATGCCAGGCTATGACCATCACAAATAAGAGACAATCTATCCACTGCCCCTTGACATTCAATGGTGTTACCATCACTGAATCCCCCACTATCAACATCCTGGGGGTTACCATTGACCAGAAACTCAACTGGACTCACCACATTAACAGAGTGGCTACAAGAGCAGGCCAGAAGCTGGGAATACTGCAGCGAGTAACTCACCTCCTGACTCCTCAAAGCCTGTCCACCATCTACAAGGCACAAGTCAGGAGTGTGATGGAATACTCCCCACTTGCCTGGATGGGTGCAGCCCCAACAACACTCAAGAAGCTTGACACCATCCAGGACAAAGCAGCCCACTTGATTAGTACTACATCTACAAGCATTCACTCCCTCCACCACTGACGCTCAGTAGCAGCAGTTGTACTATCTACAAGATTCATTTCAGAAATTCACCAAAGATCCTCAGACAGCACGTTCCAAACCCTCGACCATTTCCATCTAGAAGGAGAAGGGCAGCAGATATGAGAACACCACCACATACAAGCTCCCCTCCAAGTCACTCACCATCCTGGCTTGGAAATATATCGCCATTCCTTCACTGTCGCTTGGTCAAAATCCTGGAATTCCCTCCCTAGTAGCATTATGGGTTAACCCACAGCAGGAGGACTGCATCAGTTCAAAAAGGCAGCTCACCACCACCTTCTCAAGGACAACTAGGGATGGGCAAGAAATGCTGGCCAGGCAGCGACGCCCACATCCCACAAAAGAATTTAAAAAAAACCTGTCTGTTACTGGCCCATATCCCTCCAAACCTTTCCTATTCATGTACTTATCCAAATGTCTTTTAAATGTAATTGTACTCACATCTACCACTTCCTCAGGGAGTTCATTCCACATGCAAACTACCCTCTTTGTAAAAAGTTTGCCCCTCATGTCTTTTTTTAAATCTTTCCCCTCTCACCTTAAAAATGTGCCACCTAGTCTTGAATTCCCCCAGCCTAGGGAAAAGACAACTACCATCAACTCTATCTATACCCCTCATTATTTTATAAACTTCTACAAGGTCGCCTCTCGATCTCCTATGCTCCAGTGAAAAACATCTCAACCTATCCTGCTTTTCTTTATAACTCAAATCTTCCATACCCAGCAACATCCTGGTAAATCTCTTCTGAACCCTATTCAATTTTATAACATCCTTCCCATAACTGAGCAACAAGAACTGGATATTTCAGAAGAGGCTCTGCCAATGTCTTGTGCAACCTCAACATGATATCCCAACTCCTGTACTCAAAGGACTCAGCAATGAAGGTGAGCATGCCAAACACCTTTTTAACCACCCCGTCTATATGTGACACAAACATTAAAGAATCCCTCTGTTCTACAACACTACCCAACACCCTACCATCAACTGTATAAGCCCTACCCTTGTTTGTTGTACAAAAATGCAACACCTCACCTTTATCCAGATTAAACTCCATTTGCCATTTTTCAGCCCATTGACCACTTTGACCAAAATCCCTCCGTAATCCTAGAAAGCCTTCTTCACTGTCTACAATGCCATCAATTTTGGTGTCACCCGCAAACTTACTAACCATGCCTTCACTGTAACCCATGTGGGCCCATATTGGGTCATTTCCCTGTGCTGTTGGGCAGTGTCTCTGAGCTGTCAGAAGTGAATTTTAGGAACTTGATTCTTCAGTATTAGCACAGAACAAAGACTTGATGATATAATGTTGTTTGAAAGAACACAATCATGGTGTTTAAGAATCTTCGGGTGTTATTAGACATGCAAATGATGCATTTACAATAGTTTATACCTAAATACTCTTTCTGCAATGACATGTAATTGCTTGGTAATCAGCTGCCTATACTGTTTCAATCAGAGATAGTAGGAACTGCAGATGCTGGAAAATCTGAGATAACAAGGTGTAGAGCTGGATGAACA